CCTTGCAGTTTTCCTTAGATGATCTATGTTCCTGTCTCCTCTAAGCTTCTGCGGTCTTCACTGTACCTTTGGCTTCACACGCACAACTTCACGTACTGCCTTCGTAGGTGCACACTGCCTGGCCTTCCAGGCCTTCTGAAATCTGTGCGGAAGCCTTCCTGACCCCCAAAGCCTTCCATGTTGCATGCACCTAAAACCAGCAATGTGCAGATGATGCCAAGGTCCGCCACCAGCAGGAGCAATAGCCAGGTTTCCCTTTCTCTAGACTGTAGGGGTCATGTGTCCGGATCGCTGAGCACTCTGTTTTGTTTTGGCGGAACCAGGAATTGAACTCAGGCCCTTGCGCTTGACAGGAAAGCGCTTATTCCACTGAGCCATCTCCCCAGCTCGCTGAGCACTCTGAATGCAATTCTGAGGAACAAGTTCTCTAAGCTGCTGCCATTTGGAACATGGTGCACTGCGGCTTTCTTCTCCACGTCTTTCATGTTTGCAATTTTGAAGCTCCAAAAGATGGAGTCCTGCTGCTTCTTGTGATGCCGTCAGGGTACCTTTTCTATTTACCTGTTCTTTCTCAGCAATTGTGCTCTCCCCAACTCTATCTTTACAGTCCACACCTTTACTGGAGCCTCCTTTCTGGTCAACTCACAACATGTTAAATAATCCTGATGGGCTCCTTGCTCTTGATTCTCAAAATAGAACTGGCCAAAAGCTTCCAACAGTAGTCATGCCATCACCTCAACATTTAAATGCCTTGAAATTTCTTCTGCAAGATTAATTTGTCTTCCACCCTTAATCTTAGTCTCAGGGAAAGTCTCTGGACACAAGATAATGCAGACAAAGTTTCTGCCGTGCCAGAACACACAACAGCCACTGCAGACCTTCCTAGCAGAAAGCTCCAGAGCCTAGTCTTCACTGGCAGGATTTCGATCAACCTTCTGGTCTTTGGAGTCCTGCTCAGAATCTTCCATACAGAACAGCATAAGGTGCTCCAGCTTTGCTCTTTCAGCCAGCATCTCCAAAGCTTTCCAAACTCTTCCTGCAAAGCCATTTCCAAAGGCTTTTGAAACACAGCAAGGAGGAGCCAGGGAGATAGCTCAGTAGAATAAGCACTTGCCTGGCAAGCGCAGGGTCCTGAGTTCAATCCCCAGTAGCACAAAAAACAAAACAAAAAAACCCAACCAAACAAACACCCCCCCCCCCCACACACACAGCAAGGATTCCACTTCTCTGGTACCAATTTCTATCCTAGTATCCTAGTTACTTTTCACTTGCTGTTGAGTTAAGATACCCAATGGCTAGAGTAAAAGGAGCAAAGTTTTATTTATCTCACAATTTGTAGAGGTTTCAGTCCATAATTGACTGGTTCCAAGGCAGGGCGGCATAGCAGACGGGAAACTATTCTTGACAAGAAAGGAGCAACAATATGGTTTTCTTAAACCTGTTTCAATACAGTGTTGGGGGGCTGGGGAGATAGGTCAGTGGCATAAATACCAAGGTTCTGAGTTCAATCCCCAGTACTGTGGAAAAAAAATCTATCATCTATCTGTCTATCTATCTATCTATCTATCATCTATCTATCTATCTATCTATCTATCTATCTATCTATCTATCTATAGTGTGCATTGTTTACTCTTCCAGTAATGCCCTTCATTTTGTCAAGCAGAATCATAAACAGAAGGGGATGCAGGAAAGGTTTGAGATCTTTGAAGAACTGTTTTGTTGTCTTTCTTCCTGTGACCTTGTTACCTTTAGTAGAAATCTTTTCTCTTTTTCTTCTCGACCTTTGATTTAGCAGCTGGGTACTTTCTCTTGTACAAAACCTTTCTGGAATACATAACAGATCGGGAGTATCTACCAATTCCTCTAACCAGGACAGGATTTGGGCTGCAGTGGGGCATCCCCTTTTTGGACTTTTTTTGCCTTCTTCACCTTACCCTTTTTACCAGTACCAGTGGCAGAAGCCTTCTGGGCTTCATTTTTGTTTTTGTCTTTTTTTTTTTTTTTTTTTTTGGTGGAACCGGGGATTGAACTCAGGCTCTTACGCTTGCCAGGGAAGCGCTTATTTTACTGAGCCACCTCCCCGGCCCTTTGTTTTTGTCTTTTTAGCGGAATGAGGGATTGAACTCAGGCCCTTGCACTTGCCAGGGAAGTGCTTATTCTACTGAGCCATCTCCCTGGCCTTGGGCTTCAGGTTTCTTTTCTTTAGTGTCTGGCTTCTCAGTTTTTTCACCCGCCATCTTGCAAGATCAAAATATTTTTTATTTATTTTTTATGTATTTGGTACAGGGTCTTACTGTACATCTTTGACTTGTAGTGATCCTCTTGTTTTCAGTCTTTCCAGCACTGGAATAACATGCTTGTGCCATCATGCCTGGTCCCGGTGGCCAACTCAGCACACCTGGAGGTGGGGCCTGCTTGGCATGTGGTGCTGGGATTTGAACCCTGGTCCCTGAGCTTGCCTACGCAGGTGTTTAGTCCATTGAGCTCTCTCTCTCTCTCTCTCTCTCACTCTCTCTCTGCAGTACCAGGGATTGAACTCAGGACCCTGCACTTGCCAGGCAAGCGCTTCTTCTACTGAGCTATCTCCCCAGCCCACTGAGCTATCTCATTAGTCCTAGAAATCTTTTGTTGTTGTTGTTCCTAGAAATCTTATTAAGTCTGAAAATCTTGGTCTTTTCTTTTTTGGGAGTTGGTTTTATTGATTGGATTTGCAATCTCCAAATGCTTGAGCTTCTGATGTGTTACATTAGTGTAACATTGCCTTCCTTTCTTTTTTTTTTTTTTTTTTTTTTTT